TCCGGGCTCGGGCTCGGGCTCGGGCTCGCGTCCCCCTCGGCCGCCGCGTTTCCTTGACGAGCGGTGTTCTTCAGTCCGAAAGGAAATAAATTGTGCCGGGCTATGAGTGGGACGTTCCGAGCGTGCACAGAGCCTGAGCGAGAGGAGGCAGCCCCGCGGCGCCCGGGCGGTGGTCCCGTTTCCCTGAAAAAAGAGGACAAGTCTGGTTTGGGGGTTGGTGTCCGCGGGGAGGCTTTCGCCCGGATCCCCGGCTCGCGACTCCTGCGTGACGGGCGTCTTGCGTTGCCCTCTGGTTTCCGCGACCTGCGTGTTGAAGGAGCGGGTCGTTTGCTCTGCGGTGGCCCGCGTGAAACGCGCCGCGTGGGGGCCGCGGAGTGCCCGGCCGGCGGGCTGCGGGCGTCCTCGGAGGATGCGCGTTCCGGCCCGCGGTGGGGCGCGCTCGGCCGGCCGCTTCGTGCCTGGCGGGTGAGGTCAGCCGAGCGGGTCTGGTTTTTTCAGATGTAAAAGGGTGTCACGGTGAAAGCCTTCTCACGCCGGGCTTTGCGCCCGGCCTCTCCACATCGCAGGCTCGGGACAGACCGGTGCTGCTTTTTTAAACTCATTTGTTGCTGTTTGAACCGGCAATACGGTACTTTGCCCATCCGCCTTAAGAAGAATAGAACATAGTGAAACAGGGCGCGCCAAAGAGGCAATTTCTGTGTTTTTGCTTGCAATTTCCTTTTGTTTTTGTTTTTCGAGACAGGGTCTCACTATATAGTTCAGCTGCCCCTGAACTCACTGTGTAGCCCAGGCTGGCCTCGATCTTTGAGCGATTGTCCCGCCTCAGCCTACCGAGTGCGGGAATTACAGGCCTGCCCCATCACGCCCAGCTGCTTGCAATTTCATTTCCCACAAAAAGTTCTACTTTGCTCTTCTTCATTATGGTAAAATATACATAATACAAATTTTATAATTTAAATGAATTTAAATGTATAACGTAGAGACATTAAATACATTACAATACCATAACCACACTCGATTTCATTTTTTTTTTCTTTTTTTTTTTTTAAGGGGGAAAGGTTTATTTAGCTCACAGTTTTTGGAAGTTTCAGTCAATCATCAGTTGGCTCCAAATCAGGGTGGTGCTTGGCAGAGGGACAAGAAATAAGGGGCTGGGAAGGTAACTTGGCAGTCCTGTCCCCTGCCTGGCAAGCGCAAGACTCAGCTTCCATCTCCGGTACTGCATGCCTTGTCGGCCACTGAAACCGGGCCTGTTGGTTCTTTCACCCCTGGAATCCCAGTGCTGCGAAGGATGCAACAGGAGAATCACTACGAGTCCGAGCTGCGTAGTGAGACCCTGTACCAACTAAATAAATAAATGATTAAAAAAAGAAAAAGAAAAAAATCATGGAAGCAAAAGCAACAAGCAAGAGAGACCCACCCTCTATTTCTAAAACCCATCATCCCGAACAAATTATGTAGCCATTAGACAGTGACTCTTTATATCTCTCTCTAGACCTTTTCTGCCTCTTTACAGAGCCTTATATAGAAGGAAGTGTCCTTTTGTGTCTGCCTTGCTCCCATGTTTTTGAGGCTTATCCATGTTGTAATTGTAGCACGTATCATACTTCATTGCATGTTGCTGATTTGCTTGTTTACGGTGCTGTTTCTACCTTTTAGCTGTTGAGAGTAATGTTCTTATGGCCATGTTCGTCTCTGTAGTCTTTTGTTTTCCATTCTTTGTGGTGTGTATCTAGAATTAGAATTGTTGGGTTATATGGTAATTCTGTTTTACATTGTAAGTAAGGGACAGACTCTTCATATTTTAGAAACTGGGGCCAGGGAGATGGCTCAGTAGAATAAGTGCTTACCTTGCAAGCTCAAGGGGCTGAGTTCAATCCCCAGTTCCACCAAAAAAAAAAAAAAAAAAAAAGCATTTTAGAAACTGCTTTCTCAGATATCTTTGTACCATATAATTGTTAAATTTTATGGCCCCACCTCTGTTCTTATCTGTCATTTATAGTGACGCTTCACCTCAGCTCTCCTGGAAGAAGTTTGGTGCTTCTTGCCTACTTCTGGTTTGCTCTCTATTACATAAGCCCGCCTCTGCTCTTTTCAGGAACTTAAAGTACAGTTTTGATGTTTACTTGAAACTTCTCTCTGAGGGCCCGATTTGAGATTTGAATGTGGTGCTTCGAGACATCTGCCTGTGTTCTCTTGAACGTATGGTGTCCATACCAGTCTGTTTTCTGTTTACCTTCCTGACTGTTTTTTTCATAGTCCTTCTCCCTGAGAATGAAAGCGGGGTGCTTTTATTGCCTCTTTCTCCCACGGGAGCCCAGATCTTGTGAAGCTGCTGAATGCAGACAGCTGTGCCCGATTCCCTGCCACTCACTCTGATATCAAGCTGTGATTATTTCTTGCCTGACTTCTAACTGGACTTCTTGATTCTAAAAACTTTCCTCTCTGTCCCCAAGCATTTTACGTGCTGCTGCTAGGGCTTTCTTCCCCATGCTGATTTGCTTACAGATGCAAGCAAGTTGTCCTCTGCATGCAGGACAAGTTTGTTCTTGGCAGCACAATCCCAGGCTGTCTTCCTGTAATTAGTAGCCTTCCACTGGTGTTTTGCCATCTCGTGGACTCATCCGTATTCAGCTGTTACAACCAACCATTCACTTGCTTATTTTGTTTGGGAAATTAAAAACATACATGCTAAAGTTTCTACTTGAAATGTTTTAGTATTTAGCCATTTTGGTCTTAATCCTTAAGCCAAATTCAAATCATAGCTTCTATAACAAATCTTCAGAATTTTTCAAACAAAATTATTTTTTCTTATTCTTGTTTTTCATATGGTTATTTTTTTTCATTTTTTTAATATGGCTTATGTCCTTATTGCAGCACTTTTTAGAGTTTGCTAAAGCTCTAAAAATATGTTGAAATAATGTTCAAGTTTTTCTATTAAATTTATTATTTCTTTAGAAAAGAAAAATTTTTTTAAGAGAAAATGAGACTACTGAGCAGAGTATGATGGCTTCTAAGCCCCAGGTAGCATTGACAGAAGTGTTAACACTATGCAGTGATCATCAGTAAATATACAGTTTAACCACTCGTACCTCAAGTGTAAGTATGGTCATATGCTGCATAAGACGATATCGCATAGTGTTTTTGTGACTCTTGGTTTAAGTACTCTCACGTTTCACAGCACAACGTGCAGAGCATATCCCTGTCATTAAGTGACACGTGACTATTTTATAAAAGCTTTCTAATTCTAGTTAGAAGATAGTATCTTTTACTTGCATGTTTTTGTTAATTATTGAGACTGAGGACTTTCATATCTATCACTACATATGTAGGGTCTCACCAAGCGGATCAGACTCAGTGATCCTCCTGTTTTCAGCCTCCCAAGCTCTGGGATTACAGACGAGTGCCACCACGCCCAGTCTCAGTCGCTGTCTCAGCGCACTCTGTGGGGGTATGGCATGTGGTGCCAGGAATCAAACCCCAGTCCCTGCGTCTGCCTAAGCAGGCGCTGGTATCCGCTAAGCTATCCGGCCAGCCCTGTATGTTCTTTCTTTCTTTTTTCTTTTTTCAGAACTGGGGATTGAACTCAGGCCCTTGCACTTGCCAGGCAAGTGCTTATTCCACTGAGCCATCTCCCCGGCCCCAGCCCTGTATGTTTCTTATGAGCACTCTTTTCTGTGTCACTGACCTGTCAGTGTAATATTTATTATCCATGCCTTATTTGATGCAGATACTTTTGGTCATCACTTTTTACTTATTTAAAATTAGCTTTTATAAATGTTTTCTGTAGCTTTCAGTTACTTTAGAAAGTGTAAGAATTGATGAAAAAGAGATAGGAACTTCATTTTGTCTTTTTGAGACAAGATCTTGCTATGCAGTTCAGGCAGGCTTTGAGCTCACTTTGTAGCCCAGGATGGTCTCCAATTTGCAGTGGTGCTCCTGCCTCAGCCTCCCAGCGCTGGGATTGCAGGCATGTCTCACCATGCACAACCTACAAATAGCATTTTAAAAAAGGAAGCATGTGTGATCCTTAAAACCCATTGATCACTTAACTTAGAAAACACCTGCATAGTTCTGCTTTATCTTACTGAAACCTCAAGCCTCTTCAAGATGTTAGGAAAACGTGTGGTTAGGGTTCTTCAGGGAAACAGCTGATGCGGTGTATACATAGGTTTGCCTGCGTGCGTGTGCACATGCGCGCGCGCGCACACTGATTTAAGGAGAGGAACTTACTCATTGTGGGTTCTTACAGTTTGTGTGTAGTTGTCCCCAAAGCCTCATGCAGTCATGGGGCAGCTTTTGGAGTGTGTGATTGTTTCTTAATCCATTGCTGGGATTATGGGTATGAGTGCTGCTGGGATTATGGGTGTGAGTGCTGCACTCAACCACAGCCGGAATGTAACATAAGGGAGACAGACTTGCTCTCTCTGGCCATTTTGTTGCTGCTATTCCTCCCTTTTGCTCTTGCTGTTTTGCTGTTTTCTGCCGCCATGAACTGCTGCCTTCTGCAG